ATTTGCATTTCTTTGATGACTCGTGAGGTGGAGCATGTTTTCATGTATCTGTGGGCTGTTTGTATGTCTTCTTTTGAGAAGTGTCTATTCATATCTTTTGCCCACTTTGTAGGTTTGTTTTTTTCTTTTTGGCATGTTTGATTTCCTTGTAGATCCTAGATGCTAGGCCTTTGTCAGACATAGAGTTGGCAAATATTCTTTCCCAGTCTGTGGGCTGTCTTCCTGCTCTCTTGATGGTTTCTTTGGCTTTGCAGAAGCCTGTCAGTTTGATGAGGTTCCACTTGTCTACCTTATCTCTTATGGCCCGGGCATTTGTGCTTTTGATCTGGAATTGGTTGCCAGTTCCAATTTTCATAAGGGTGTCTCCTGCATTTTCTAAGATTCTTATAGTTTGGGGTTTTACATTTAGGTCTTTGATTCATTTAGAGGTGCTTTTGTGTATGGTGATAGGTAGGAGTCTAGTTTTAATCTTCTGCATGTGATCAGCCAGTTTTAAACTAAGAAATGATATTAAAATACATTTTGTAGGCTGGACATGGTAGTTCAAGCCTATAATCCCAGCACCTTGGGAGGCCAAGGCGAGAGGATTGCTTGAGCCCAGGGGTTCGAGACCAGCCTGGACAACTTGGTGAGACTTCGTCTCTATAACAATTTTTAAAAAAAATAGCCGGGCTCGGTGGCTCAGCCTGTAATCCCGTGCCTTGGGAGGCTGAGGAGAGTGAATTGCCTGAGCCCATGAGTTCGAGACCCGCCTGGGCAATTTGGTGAGACCTCATCTCTACAATAAATCAAAAAATTAGCTGGGTGTGGTAGCGCGCGCTGTAGTTGAGTGTGGTAGTGCGCGCCAGAAGGCTGAGGTGGAAGGATCGCGGGAGCCCAGCAGGTCGAGGCTGCGGTGGCCGGGAGCAGCCACTGCACTCCAGTCTGAGCGACAGAGTGAGACTCCAGCTCAAAAAAAAAAATTAGCTGGGTGTGGTGGCCTGATCCCAGCAGGTTGATGCTGTGGTGGCCATGAGCATGCCACTGCACTCCACCTGGGTGACAGAGTGAGACTCCAACTCAAAAAAAAAAATACATTTTGTGTTTCTTAAATTGTCTTTTGGTATCTATGACGTGACCATGTATAAATCATATATATACATATATTACATAAACATATATACATATATTTTATTACATAAACTTATATACATATACATATATACATATATTACACACATATAAACACATACACATATATTTTAAGACACACAGTCACTCTCTGTCATCCAAACTGTAGTGCAGTGGCACCAGCATAGTTCACTGCAACCGTAAACTCCTATGCTCAAGGGCTCCTTCTACCTTAGCCTCCTGAATAGCTATGGCTATAGGTGAAGGCCACCACTCTCAGATCCTAAAACACATATTTTTAAAACACATATTTTCAAAGTTTGGGGTCTTATAGAATGGCTAAGTAAAGCAGGGTTAATCACCACTCTTGTAGGAAAAGACTTCTTGGATTACAAGAATGTCAAGGAAGAACTAAGATCCTAAAAATATCTCTTTTCTAAAGACCTTCTATTCCAGGTAGGAAGTAAAGTGAGCTGCTATAGTCTTTCTCACAGCATTTGGAGAAGTCACTTGGGTTAAATAATATGAACTGAGAAGACGTCCTGAAGACATTCCAGTGAAAAGAAGAGGGTCTGTCTTCTTTCTGCCTTTTATTCCTTTGACAGCAGATTCTGTGAGCCCTTGTCTATATGTGACGTCTGGACTTGAAAGATAGCAGGCAACTACATCCATCCTAGTGCAGCAATTTCATATGAGTTGCCTGGTAGAAAGTCATCATCTTATTTTATTGATATTCTTAAGGTAGTCTAAGATAATGAATGAAAGCTACAACTTCTTCTTGCCAAATATTGCTATATCATGGTAAGATTTGAAAAAGAACCTAGGTTTACATAATATTATTTGCCCTAATATAAAACTAGAGAGGGCACAGCGGTTCATGACAGAGCAGTACTCCTGCCAACCCACAATGGGTCACTGGAACTCAAGTACAGAAACTCAGCCATCCTTCCGGTGGGTGGGTGGTATCCAGGTCTCCTGTGTGCACATGTGGGCCATGACAGAAAGCAAACCAATAACCTAGGTCTGGTCAATACATGACACTGTGATAAAATAGACGTTAGCTTTAGAGGTCTTCTGTAGCTCCATGCCTTCCAACAGGGATGCTGATTTTTCTTCTGGGTTACTTATGTTAGCAGTCTTCATTTCCCAGACTTATATAACTAGTTAGTGGTAACATGTGGGTAGCACACCAGCCTCCTGCCCTGGGACTGTTTCTTCTCCACACAGTCTTTGGGGTGAATCTTCAAAGGCTGGAGACATCTCACAACACATAACTCTTGTCTTCCGGTATAGCCAATATCTAGCGCCACTGTTACAGTCAATATGTCTTCTTTTATGATCATGGGAGAAAGCTGACTACACTTTCTGGAAAAAGCTTGAATTCCTGCAGCAGAGGCTGATTGACAGGAACATTTCAAGGGTTCTCTTTCTTTGGGAGCACTTTTTACAGGGCACCAAGACATCCATGCACATCCTGAAGAAATCAGTTCCAACTTCTTTGGATTTCTTGTCCCTAAATGCTAATATTTAGTACAACGTCATTCAACTGTGATCTCATATAAATTCCATAAACAAGAGACTGTAGAAAGGCAGACATAGGCTTGCAAACAGATGTTAAATTTGGCAGCAGGGTGAATTTTAGAACCATTCCCTAGGACATAGGAGGGGAAATATTTTGGGGAAATGGTGAGACTTCCAGTGATTTTACTTATTTATTTTTTATAACTGTCAAGTTCATCAAAGATATCACTTTGCTTTGAGGTAATCCCAATATTGTCTCTGTTCTTTATTTTGTCAATCAATTAAACAAGTTGACAAAAGAGAGTGATTGATATTCACAGATTTCCAACTTTCAGCAACTCAAAAAATCTACCTGTTGTTTTATATTCTGAGTCAAAGAATGACAGTTTTTTTTTTTTTTTTGAGGTTGATGAATGGCATATTTTAGCCACAGTATACTACACTAAGGTTAAGATCAAAACACCTTTTTATTCTCATTATAGAGATTGAAAAAATAAATCAGCTCATGATTTTTCAATTATTCATCTCCACCTCCACTGCTCTACTATCTGTCCCACTAGTAATTCAAATTGTCTCCTAACAGTCTGTCCAGGGAGGAGCACAGACACACACAAAGACATGTAAGTGTGTGCACGTGTGTATATAGACACCAGATTATTTTACTGATATAAACTATGTGTGGCATAAAATGTATGAATAATAATATATGAATATATAATAACATACAATAATCTTCATTAGAAATTCCATTAGCAGTTAATTCTTATGGAATCTTTTTGTTGATTTTCTTTTGCTGAACTCCTTTATCTGTACTTATGCACAGTCTCGGCCACAAGGGTTTTTTAATTTGTATCTTTTACAAAATTTAAAAAATGCCAAAATCAGTTTTCACTCACAAGCCAGAAGAAAATAGGCTTCAAGTCAGAAATGTAGCTTGCTGACCCCTAGTCTAGCCAACCCACAAAACAATAAATAAAACCTGATATGCAGTGTTGCCACTCTCTGGGGTGTAAATACTTCCACCCTGGTGGATTTCACGCTATTCGAGGGCTGTCACTAAATGTGGAACTGGGACAAGATATGCAGCAGCAGTCCAAGAGAGCGTACTCCTCCTTCACAGATAAAATAATCATAAAAACCTCAAGAGCACGTATAGCTGAATGATATCGATAGATAGGTGTATAGTCGAAATATAGTGCAATGAGTCAAAATCAGTACACTTATTAGTTTTTTAAAAATACTTTATATAATTACAAGTTTATATAACTTAATTTCTGATGATGTCTGTGTTTCTCAGCCAGCTCACAACATTTCTGGCACTCTAATATTTGGCCCTCAGGCATCAGTACAAGCTGACTGCAACACGACGCTGCTGGCCTGTTGCTTTAAACTCCATGGCCACTGAACTGCTTGGCATTTCCTGCACTGTGCCCTGGCATCCCTGTCTGATCTTCTTCCGCACCAGGCTAATCTTATCATGTCCCAAGTAGCATCTTCTGGTGGAAGTCTTCTGCCATTCTTCGTGCTTGAATTAAGCACCCTCTTCCCTATATAAATATACCTAATTGTAATATACAGAGTATAGAAATGTGTACTTATGCAAATACACCATATCCATATTTTGAGCCCTCGGTGCCACTGGAGCTCTCGCCTCCTTGTCCTGCAGAGGCTGAGCTCAGTCGCTAGACTGTTAGCTTCTGCCCCTCAGGGTCTACCTCGCCATCTCTGTCTATTTACGGTCCAGCACAAGGCCTGGTGTGCCGGAGGGGCACAATATCCACTTCTTGAACTGAACGACCAGCAATGATGGTTAACTCTCGGCTGCCAGGTTGCATAGCTTTGTGCAACCTTCTTTTTACTGTAGAGTCGGTGCCTTTCACTGTGTCTCTTCTATAAGAGAACAGGGAGAAACAGCTCCCTGTGCTTATTAGTCAAAAGTCTGCACTGGCGTGAAGGTTAAAGACTAGTTCTTATAGTGCACGTTTAGATTCCATACACTTTGTTTATAATGTCTGTAGCTTCCGTTATCTCAGATACTTAAAGTCATTTAACCCAGAAACTAGACAGTGACACAGGGAGACTAAATGCAAGAGAAAACGTGAAAGGGAGACCTGCTGATTTTAAAATACACAGTTATCTGCTACCTCATGGGCTCCCTGCGCCATCTCCAAGGCATTCTCCTCCCCTCTCACTGCTCAGATTTTCAGGATGGATCCCTTTCCCTGTAGACCGCCTGGCATGATGGCGGGAAGATAAATCTCCAGGTGAGCTTTCTCAGTGCCCCACCGCTTCTCTCGATGGCTCTGCCTACCAATTTTCTTACCGTTTTTGAGCAAGGGGCCTGGGATGTACAGGGAGAGTCAACTCACCTCATAGTCGATGTCCAAGGCATCTGTCTCGCCCTTGGTCCGAAAGTGCTGTGTGTGCTTGTCCACAGTGAAGTTCACCTGCTTGCCCACCCGTTCAATGAGGACTGAGTGCCAGTGCTGGTCATCCAGGAGGCTGCCCAGGGTGGCCGAGGGTGGGCTGCTGCTGAGACGCGCTTTGCTGTCATCTGCAAAAAGAGGAGGAAGATGGGTGGTATCTGTGTCTAAGGGGAGCTCCTAAAAGTAGAGAATGATTGCCTCACTAGAGGCTCAGCCCAGAGATTCCAGGACCAAATTATAGTTCCATTGCTACACGCGCCTCCTTCCAGACATAAAAGGCATGTTTTCAAGATTTGAACAATTAGATCATAAAAGGAACTATGTCCTCATGGCTCCATGCATAAGACTGAAAGTGGGGTTTTCGTTTTCAGAAGTAATATAGATTATGTGAACTTGAATGGCTCTCAAGTGGGGAAAGCCAACATGAGCTGTCCTTGGGAGAAACAGTCGAGTTGGGACACATAAAGGGAAGACAGTGACACATTAAGTTAGGCACGTCCATGGACAAAGGCAAAGGCACGGAAATAATCATGCTAGCTGCCATAGGCCAGTACTTACTGTACATATGACACTTGAATAGGAATATTATAACCTCCTCCCTTAATCCTCTAAGGGAAAATTATTAACTACATTTTTTTTTTAAGTTAGAGTCTCACTCTGTCGCCCAGACTGGAAGGCAGTGGCACGCTCCCGGCCACCGCAGCCTCGACCTGCTGGGCTCCAGCGATCCTTCCGCCGCAGCCTTCTAAGTAGACAGAACTACAGATGCACGCTACCATGCCCGGCTAATTTTTGGGTTTATTGTAGAGACTAGGTCTTGCCAAGTTGCCCGAGTGGGTCTCAAACCCACGGCCTCAGGCAATCCACTCGCCTCGGCCTCCCAAAGTGCTGTGATGACAGGCTGAGCCACCGAGCCCGGTCTATTAACTACATTTTACAAAAAAAGGAAACTGAGACTCCAGGAGGCTAAGCATATGTGCCTCATTTGCAGCCTGGTTTTGAATCCAGGTCTTCTTCGAATCCAGGGAAACTCTGATCCCTGCTACTCATCATGGCACGCGTCAGGGTGTTGAGCATTCAGCCCAAGTTGAGTTTGAAAGACTCCCTTGAGAGGACGTGAGGATGTGAGAGATTCTGTTGGAAGGGTATGTTTTTCCCCCTGGCTACCCCTCTGCCCTGCCCCCTTCCAATTTAATGAAAGTCCCTGGCTAGACCCTTCTACCAGAAATTTTTTTTAAAAAAAGATCACAGATTTTTCTCCCCTTGCAGCATTTTCCTTAACTTTACGTAGCAAAACGAGCAATGAAATAAACTAGTGGTGACTTACATATGAATTTTCAATTTTTGTAACATTTTATGGATGAACTTCCTCAGTAGCTGACGGGGATACGTTTCACGCCTCTCTCCAAGGATGCGGTTTCCTAGCACGGCCTTAGCAGCCTGTTGGACGGTATCCTTCAGAGCCCGAGTTGCTGCTTCCCCCACAGACTGCTAATTCCCTCCCCCAAGTCACTACTTCCTTCAAGGATTAACTCTCCATTGCTTCCTGTAGGGATGGGGGACAGGGCATCAAACTTATTACAATTTGAAAAGGAGAGCTGAAGAGTTAATTGCCGACTTCATTTCATGGCTTTATTCATCACTTGTTGTACAACCTTGGAGTTCTCGCCATTGGTTGGATTGTACTAAGGAATTAATAGATATGCAGCCTTCCTTGCCTCCCCCTTTCACGCTCCCTTTCTCTCTCCCTCCTTCCCTCTCTTCCTTCCGTCTTCCCATAGCAAGGTATTGTCATTTACCTGTGCCGGTCACAGTGACAGGTGACACATAAAGGAGATTAAAGGTATACTGCGTTTAAATGTGCACTGTCTTCTCTGAAGGTCTTCGCGTGGAAACACTCAACAAATAAACACGTGGTACGCAGTAGTTAGTGCAGGGAGTCATCGGAATGCAGTTCCCTAGCTGTGGAGGCTTCCTTACAGAGGGGGGGAAGCTGAGATTTGATGGGAACCAGAAACATGGTTACACAGCGAGAAGCAAGTGTCCAGGCTCCAAGGTGCAGGCGAGCGTGGCTGAGGAGTTTCCAGAGACAGAGGGCCAGGAGATGTTGTGTGCTAGTTTGTATATTATCTTTAAGAAATGGGAGCTATTGGTGGATGAGTAGATCAGAAGATACTCATTTAGATTACATTTAGAAGAGGCTGTTTTGGCAGCTGTATGGAATTTGGTTAGAAGTCAAGACTGGCAATAAGGTCTACTGGTTCACTGCCAGTTGAGTCATCCAGAGGGGCACAAAAGAGCTCTGGCATACTGGGCACAGAAAGATGGGATCTAAGCAGTGAGAAAGCATTAACACGAGGTGGCCTTTAGCTGAAATGGACAGAACAGAGAACACCATTGCCACCACCCCGCACACACAACTTTGATGTGTACAATAAAACTTGATCGAGAGTTAATCTTGGCTAATAATAATAGGAAGCTAACATTGAGTGTGCTTCACAAACTGTCAGTTTCAGATAATAAGGCAGATAGAGTTAACATTGGGGTTTACAATTTGAAATTGACAATCAGCTCACATTTTTTTCTTTTCTTTTTCTTTTTTTTTTTTTAAGTAGGATTTATTAAGAAGACAGCAAAACTCCCACAGTGGGAGAGGACCTGAAAGAGGTTGCCCACATTTTTTTTCTTAAAATAATACTCATTTAACTATTATTCATTAATAATAGGTTCAAAAGATTAAAGATTTCAAAAATGAAAAGTCATGGTGTGACAAAATCAAATAAAATACTGGACAAAGAATCACCTGCTGGGCTCCGGCGATCCTTTCGCCTCAGCCTTCCAAGTAGCCGGAATTACAGGCATGCGCTACCACGCCCAGCTGATTTTTTGATTTATTGTAGAGATGAGGTCTCGTTGCCCAAGTGGGTCTCGAACCCGCGGGCTCAGGCAATCCACTCACCTCAGCCTCCCAAAGGCGCGGGATGACAGGCTGAGCCAAAGAGCCCGGCTTATGTGCTGTTTTTGTGAGGCTTGGCGATCTACTGATTTCTTTAATAGAGCCAATAAATATTTATTATGATAAAAACACAGTATATATTATGATTAAAACACAATATTTTAATAATTATTTAGGATTCTTGCCTCAAGTGGTGAATTTAATTATGAATCGGTCAACGTGATTTTCTCTCTTCTTTGACTTTTTAGTAATAAATCCTCCTTTCCTCCTGCCTTCCCTCTGCTCCCCTTCCATACCCTCACAGGTAATTAATCACTTTATTAATGTCTTGCTTGTGCCTAAAGAAAAATTTAAGTCACATGCAAGCCAGTAAAGGTAGTTTTTTCCCTCCTCATTTAGGTTTTACCCTCTTGTGAAATACAGTGCACGTTTATCTGTCACTTTCTGGTTTCATTTAATCTACCCTAGAAATATTTCTTTATGAAAATACAAAAAGCTGTCCTATCTTTTTACAGTTGGATAGTATTCTATATCTATCTATTAAATCTATCATTGACTTAGTCAGTTTCCTACTGATAGAAATTTAGATTTTTCTGTCTACTTCCGATATTTAAAACTCCTGAACACTTTATATGTGTATGTTATGTTGTTTGGGCTTCAGCAGGTCCACAGCATATAGTCTTACATGATGAATTGGTGGTTAAAGGTTTTCATATTTGTAGTTTTGACAAACACTAACGCATTGTCCTCTGTAAAGGCTGTACCCATCTAAACTCTTGCTAACAATTCCTGGAACTTTTACCACAAACTTGCTAACAAAATATGATCTAGTTTTACAATTTTCCCTAATAGGTTTAAAAAAAGTATTTCTGAATAATTTTAATATGCATTTACTTAAATATGAATGAGGTTGAGAATATTTTCATTATTTTTTTTTCCTGTGAACTGTCTCCTCTTATCTTTTGTCTGTTCTTTTTATTTCTCACCAATTCATAATTAGCCTGATGTTTATAGCATGGATGTTAGCAATATTGTTTTTGCCATTCTTTTTTTTTGATGCTGTTTTTCTGATTTTGTTTGATTTTTAAATTTATCATTCAGATATTTTTACATTAAAAAAATCTATGATTTTTTTTCTTTCATGACTTCTGGCTTTGTATTATAGTTTAAAAGGTTCTCTACACGCTGAGATCATTGAAGAGTTCTCTCAAGGTTTTTCTACTTCCTTTCATTTGGAGTTTATTCTGGGGTATGATACGAGGCACAATTCTACCTTTATTTTATGTTTTGAGATGTTACCAAATTATCTCAAATTCGCTATTTTAAAATCCTGGAGTAATTTCATTTCAGGAAATAGGGTGTAAAACTCTCAAATGTAAGGAGAAATACTAGTAAATCAGATGAGGTGGTTTGTTACAATGATTAGATCAAGGTTCTTTCAGTATATGAATGGGATCTTTAAATCCTAAAGCTTCCAGTAGCGATTAAGCTGGTTGTTGCCCACTGCGCATTCCTTGCATCTACTGCTGCCATCACCACCATCTCAATGGGCCAGGCTGGTAACCCTGTCTTTACCCTGCTTGAAGTTTAAAATCAGCCCTTCCTTCGTGGGATACTAACCTTGGCTCAGAAAGTTGGCTACTCATTCCATCCAACAATTCTACTCTTCATAATTTTAAGACTTTATGGGAATAAAAATGTACATCTTAACTAAATAGTGACTACTCCTCACCGCCTCTAATGAAACCATAAAGTTAATTAACACGCTTATTATTTTATGCAAAATAGCTCATGAAATTTTTATGAATGCTTAAAGCAATTTGTTGACCTTTCCTCAAAAGTGAATTAACATTGCTCCTTGTTTACATTATTCATTTACTTAGCCAATATTTTTATTGACCAAAGATAATGCAAAATTGAATCCCACCAATCTTTTGGAAAAACACATGTAAATAAGTATTTGGGAACTTTAATGTTCATAACCTTTTACCTAGTAAACCACTCTCTGGAAATCCATTCCAAGAATGCAAACTGAAGCGTGTATGTGTGTGTGTGTGTGTATGTGTGTGTGTGTGTATTTTAATGGCAAATGATTTAAAAATTAGAGGTAATGTCCAATAATTTGGAAAAAGGTAAGAAAAAATTTAGGTGGAATCACCAGATGGAATGTTA